TTTATAACCAAACTGCCCTTATAGTTTCTATGCAAAGTTAATATTTCTATAGCTGTTGAATAATGCGAATTGCAATGCACAGGATAGTATCGAAGAAAGTAACTTTTAAAGATGAAAATGTTTACAGATCTTTAGCATTTTAAAAATTGCAATTTTATGAAAAAAAAAATTTAGTCATTGTTACAACATTATGTTAATAGCATCATAATTCAGAGCAGTATAAAATGTTTACTCAATCATTGGAACTCTTGATAGGATAAGTAATTTAAAAGTAAATTATGGGGTTTCCATAATTAAGATTAATACTAATCCTATTGTCAGTGCCATTTCAGATGTAGAAAAACTGAAGTCAATTCTAAAAGGTTGGCAAGTAGGCCCTAATTTGCGCGCGCGTGCCGGGGGGGGTTTGTTGGTGTTGCTTCCTATTGCTTCCATCTTGGTGACCAGAAAGTTTTCATTACAAAAAAACCATCTTCTAGTGCTAGTTTTTTAGGTAAATGAGATGGTAACGGGTGGGGACTGGAACATGATTAAGCTTGTAAACACGTAGACTAGTGTTTGCTGTCAATCCCAACCCAGCTCTACTTGACTAAGATATCTCCTTTACCAACCCTAAAATTGTATTCAAACACAACATAACCTCATCATAATTAATTGATGAGTTTTTTAACACGTTCTGGACTCCTTTCAGGACAGATTTGAATATCCTCAAGGCAGCATTACATGCCAAACTGTTGATTTCCTTGGGAACAGTCACCATTGATCCTTGACCTTGACTGATGAGAACACGAATCATCTTTATGCAAAAGTCCAAACGATTCAGATCCCATGACAACCATTTAATGGGATAATGCTTCCATGAGCATTTAACAAATACTGAAGGTCCAGTAGTAGGGGTTTTAGCTGATGGTTCATAATTTACCTGCTTATTTAAGTCATCATCCAAATCGCTACTTCTTATCAAAATAAAATCATCAAGCAGATCTAGGCAGATATTCCATAACCAGATGCTCTTACTGTCGGGTCCAACCCGGAACACTACATCAAAGATAGGCTCACAAACAGTTTTTGCCATCGAAGGGCAGTTGACAGAGGTATCAAGTTTGTGCAGCAAATAACACCACATGTTTAGGCAGGACGAGTGAACTGATATAATACGTTTACTTGTCACGAAACCTATTATAGGAGTCATTATGAGTTTTACACTCTTAGAAAATCCTTCTCTTTCTCTTCCACTATTATTCCCTCTTGCCAATTTGTTTGTATTTTACACTAGATTGGGTTAGTAAAGATTTTCGGCTCATAAATTAAAATTGAGAAGCAAAACATAAATTGAACTCAGTTGGGACCGAGTTGAATAATGTGATAAGTAATCCTTTCTTTGGTGCTGCTGGAGTCTGCCGGTGTGTGTTGCTACTGGTTTTTGCGCTGCTGGTGTTGCTACTGGTTTTGTGCAGTTAATGCTGCATGTTAAACCTGCTGGAGTCTGCTGGTGCAGCTATTTCTTGTGCAGCTACTGGCTCCTTTAGTGTATGTTGTTAAACCTGATGAGTGGTTAGTGCTTGATGTATTTTTGGTAAGAACTTTAATATACACATATTGTTGACAAGATGATGCACCTACGGACATATTATGGCATGTTTGCTTCTAATACATCCCCTCATTCACAATGCTTTCAATTGTGACTTGAAAAACAGAGGGAGCCTGTTCCACATTTTGAATCAGTTGTGGCTATAGTGCTTAATGTACTTTGTCCAATTATAGGCAGTATTGGAGCAATTTCAAGGTCTAGGAGTACGAATTCAATTAGCTTGCAGTTTTCTATCATTTATAGGAGTGGTATTCAAGTGCATATTTGTTAAGTCATATTGGGCATTGCAGTGATTTCATATGATCTGAGGCAACTATGCTAAATTAGATTGGGGTTCAAAATCATTTTGTGAAACATAAAGGACACTTGTATATTTGTATATGTGCAAAATACTACCATGTTTTTCTTTTTTATTTGTTCTCTATTACAAACATCATGTCCGGTCTCGTGGCAGTGAGATACATTAAACTACCCACCAGCTGCTTGTAATACGTCTCATCAACTAAGTCTCTATTTCCGTGTTGCTTTATCATCAAGGATCACCTCAACTCTTTGAAGTTTTGAATTGTTATATGCATTTCTACTAAATTGGTTTATAAAATAAAATTATTTATATATGAGTTTAGATGTAATTGATAATATATTAATGTTTGCCTTGTTTATTTTCTTTGCAGATTGGTTTTGATGACGTTCGGAAGCATACTTGCAAATGAAGATCAACTGTTGAATTTTTTTTCCTAAACTGATGCTTAGTTGTAGTTGCAAATCAAGATTGAGTGTTGATTTTTTTTTGTGGAATCCGCGTTAGTTCATTTTGGGATTTGCTTTGATGGTTTTTTTGTGATACTTAATGGATTATTATTAAAGTTGTTTGATGGATATATTTTGATTTATAATATAAATTGTTTAGTGAATTTTTTTGTGGAGTGATGTATAATAGCTAGTGGATTTCTTAGTACAATTAAAAACTATCGGGATATGAGCAGGGATATTTGTGAAAAAATAATTTCAATTGAATATAAAATATGGAACAAGTTCAGTGACGAATTTGTTTTGTCATTTATACTTGTTATTATGACAAAGTGATTATTCGTCACTAATAAACTTTTTTTGTGACAAAATTTACTGCAATTTATATATGGAAGTTTTTATTTATTTTGTTGTTTGGTGACTAAAAATTTCGTCACGTATATATATATTTGTGACGAAATATATTTCGTCATCACCCATGTATGACTTTTGAAGACGAAAAATTTCGTCACCTTTACATCTAATTGTGACGAAATTATTTCCTCATCAATAATCAACATGCGTGACAAATTTATTCGTCAACTAAAGTTATAAATATGGTACTGAATAACTATTTGATGATGAAAATGAGAATTTTTGGCGACAAAAAGTTGTTTTATTGGTGACAAAAAATTTCGTCGCTGAAGTAATTTCATTGATGACGAAATTATTTTTCATCACGTTGGATTTTAGTGACAAACATTCAATGACGAAACCGGTGACGAAAATATTTCGTCACAAATATCTATAGTGACGAAATTAACTCTTTGAAGACAAAAAAAATTCGTCATTCAAGACCCAACTTGTTGTAGTGGAAGCGTTAGTGGTGCAAGCGGTGAACAAATAGGTACAACCCTAACGTATAATTTTTTTTGGACAAATAATAGGATACTTATAAGTTAATAGGTTAAAATGAAAATGCCAATGTTAGAGTATCAACATCAGTCTTAACAAATTTTGAGTCAAATTATAAACAAAAATTTATTTTTGTATATACATACTATACCAGACTCTCTATTCTAAAATTTAATTTTATAAAATATTTATTTTTATGATCTATTGAATTATGCAAACAACCTGTCCAAACAACTTATAGCAACTTCTAGGAGAAGTTTTTCAAGAAAAAAAAAATAATGATGGTGTAGCAGTCGGTCGGATGACCAATATGATGCTCGGTAAATATTGTATTTCATATTCTTATATATATATATATATATATGGGACAATAGTCAGTCGTCTAACAGGATGTTCAGTCACTCTTAAGGATAAATAATATAAGTTTGTATAACCTGTGAATAATACCTCCCTTGATGAAGCGAGATACTATAGCAATGGAAAATTTTGTTTTGTAATAACTAGCATGATGAAGGATTGATTTGGAAAGTTAATTTGTTATAATATAACCCCAAAATCATAATAAAAGGACTGATATTAATATTCTTAGTAGTTTAATATATTGCAACGAAAAAACGACACTCACTTTATCGACACAAATATCAACCACCTTATCCAAGTAATTAAAAAATATTCTCCAATAAACTTTGTCTATAAAAACCAAAATTTAAAATTTTATATGCATGACCATAGGTGCACAATAATAATGCCAATTTAACAGTCAAAGACCCACCAAGGACATATACGTAATTTCGAAGAAGCAGGCGCATGTTCAAGTTTGGAAGGAAGGGGGTCTCCTTTGTCAACTCTTCTTCTTTCTGGTCTCTTTCCTCTGTCCTCTGCAACTAACTAATAGAGACCAAACACACAACAATGCTTTCGATTCAAACACCATACTCTTTTGTCTATTGTCACACCATTTTTAGCTATTCCCAGATCGGCAAAAATCACTCCTTCAATGCCCTAAAGTTATGTTTGGATTGAGTAATTTAGAGAGAAAAGAAAAGAAATTGAGTGATATGTTTTTTTCTTATTTGTTTGAATAATTTAAGTAGAGAAAAATGAGAAGAAATTGAGAGAAATTCATTTCTTTTATAAGCCTCATTTTCAATCTTTTCAAAAGTAGAGAGATTGGGAGAGAAAAGAAACAATTATTTTTATAATACCAATTTTATCCCTATAAAAATAAAACAAATAAAATAATTGAAAATATAAAAAGATTATTTTGGTAATATAACATAAAATAATGTATTTTCTTTTCTCTTAATGAAACCTAACCAAACAAAAATAAGAGAAATTTCAATCATTTCATTTCTTCCTTATTTAAACAAAAAGGAGAAAAATCACAATTATTTTTTTTTTCTTTTCTCTTAGTTTTTTCTTTTCTGTCGTAAGTTCCCAACTGTAATTGATCGTACACTATCTGGAAAATTCCAAAATGGCTCTGGCAATAGCCTTCTCTGATGCGTATACATATACGCCTGTATATATATAATATTCAAACATAGATATAGATGTTCTCGATCGATCGATCTCTCTCTCTCTCCATTGTTCTCAGTTGTCTAAAACCCCCAATCTCTTCTTAAATTCTCCTCATTGTCGTTTGATCTCTCTCCATTCGTCGAAATCCAAACCCTAATTCGTCGTCCAAACATTGAAGATCGATCGCGAGTGGAATAGTTTTTGATTTCATATAATTGTATTGGTTTCTGTTTCGATTTCGAGAATGTTCAACGGGATGATGGATCCTGAATTGATGAGAGTCGCTCAGGAACAGATGAGTCGCATGTCGCCAGCTGAGTTGGCCAGAATTCAGCAACAGGTCACCCCTTTTTTGACCTCCTTTGTGTACTCGATTTGTGCTTGTCAATGTCTGGTTTTTGAGATAACACATGTGCTATTTAATGTAATTGTTATGAATACAAGATATTGGTAGGTTTTTAGCTGATAATTTGGATGAAGATAGGCTCTTCTGATGATCTCCTTTATGTACTCTATTCAATTATTCTTGTAATTTTCATTTTTTGAGAAAACCCAAATGCAATTGAATGTAATTCTTATGAATACATGATATTGGTGGTCCTTTAGCGCATAATTTGGATGAAGATACGTTCTTCTGATGACCTCCTTTGTGTGCTCCATTCAATTAAGCTTGTTATCTTTAGGATTTGAGGAAACCCATATGCATTTGAACATAATTATTATTAATACAAGATATTGGTGGTCTTTTAGCTCATAAATGTGATGAAGATAGGTTCTTTCTGATGACCAGTTTGGTTTTTATTTGTGTTTAATATGAAATTACTTCAGATTGAAGGAAGAAACAGATGAAGATTGCCCCCTTTTCTTTTTTCAGTGTTTTATTTTCCCATTGAAATATTTCAGAATCATCATGAGAATATTTCTCTTTGATTTTTTTGCTTTTTTTGTTTTTGGTCTTTAGTTCGTTGGTTCATAGTAATTTTTTATTTATGATAGGGCATTGGTTGGTTAGTCTTTTGTTGGGTTGGTTGGTATTGGGTTTGGATTGAAATTATGAAACTTTAAACTTTTTGACTTAATTTGTTGTTTTGATATGATAGTTTGTGATTATCATTTTCCACATAAGTACTATTCTGATTATCCATTCTCTAAAATTGAAATCTGTTGTGGATGGGAACCTAATCTACTTGAATAGGCACAACTCTAATCATCCAATTCAGAAAGTCAAAATTTTGAGCTGTACAAACTTTAGTTGTTTTGGTTTTTTTAGTTCTTACGGCTTGAATGTACTTGTACATGGTGATCAGACCTCTGTCATGCGCTTAAAATATTCTTAATTTTTTAAGGCAAATTTTATGTATTTGAGGGAATTGAATCTAGAATGTTGGCCATAATTATGTTTCCTCAAGTTCTCATATTTAAACAATTAGCCTCCAGGTGAAGTTTATACTTTGCCAACTTTTATTTTTGTAACATTAATTGTTGTTTCCACCCATCGTTTTGCTTAAATAGCATTGTGTTTGTTTTTGATAGTCATGGCACACTATTGACATTGCAGATGATGTCTAATCCTGATTTGATGAGGATGGCTTCAGAAAGCATGAAAAATATGAGGGCTGAAGACTTGAGAAATGCTGCTGAACAATTGAAGTATACTCGTCCTGAGGAGATGGTTGAGATTGGTGAGAAGATGGCTAATGCAAGCCCTGAAGAGATAGCAGCAATGCGTGCACAAGTTGATGCACAAGTCACTTATGAAATAAATGCATCTGAGATGCTGAAGAAACAGGTATGCCATCATCCCTGTGATCTAGAAATTGTACTCCAGAACTACCATCATCTGATACTGTTCCTTGTATGTGTATTTTTGATTGTCTAGTCTCCTTAACTAGGGCTCTGATTGTTCTTAATAATTTATGTGTTCCGTTTCATTAAATTTCTCTAACCTTTTAGCTTTATGAACTCCCCATGGTAATCAACATCGGCATTTTTCCCTTTTCGATGGGTTTTGGGGTAGGGGAATGGTTTTTGCCGCATAAGATGATGTATAGTGTGCCAACTAAGAAGCACAGACATGGAACATGAGTACGAACTATATACCGAGAGAACATGAAAAGGTAATTTTAAAAAATTAAGACACAACAAGATTAGGACACTGAACAAAATAGTAAATATATTTAGATTTATTGTACTAAAATAACAAAAAATCATTTGTCACATTCTTTATATTGATGAAGAAGTGTGAATAAAAACTCGTTGCACCCAAAAAACATCCATTGCACCCAAAAAAAAGTGAATAAAAAGTCTTTAATATATATTCTAAAAATTTTTATATAATGTAAGTAGGATGTTTTTAGCTTAAGAGTTTCTAAAATTAAAAATCCTAAATGAGGAGGGATTAATAGGTATAATTCGCAGTTTTTTAATCATTGGCTTTCAAATTACTTTTAAAAACATACTATGTGTTTGATATTTGTCAAAGCGACGGATCCTCTAAGTGGCCAAAAGGTGTCATGTTCTAAAATTTTTAAGAATAATAGGACATGTTGGATATGTGTCTGACGCATTTCGGAGAGTATGTGATGAGTATGGGTGTCGGTGTATACAACATGTCTGTGACATGGCACCATCTTAGAAGTGATTGTTTCTTAGTGTGCCAATGTAAGAGGGGGCTTGCTTACTTGTATGGAAACTTAGATTTCATACAGAACTTGTATAAATTTTTTTCCCCCTAAGCGCATAAATTCTTAGAAAAACACAAAAACAAAACAGAATCCTGTAATTATTCTTTATATGCTGGTGGAGAGATTGTCTAACAGTCCAGTTACACTAGGTATTGCTTACAAGGAACTGAAGTTTAAAAGCTAAGGCACGATGTTATGAACTTACCTGATTGAAGCATGCAGTTAACTTAAATTTTATAAGTGTCCTATTTTTAATTTAATATCAATTCATAGTTTTGTGAGAATATTAGACAAATTCAGAAATGGCAATGTTACAGGAGATAGATATAAGCTCACCAGTTAGGTAACTCAAATAGACCTTCGGCGCCTTAGTGCGCCTTGAGCCTTTAAAAACACTGGGCAATGTTACAGGAGATAGATATAAGCTCACCAGTTAGGTAACTCAAATTTGCCATAGTATAGTTAGTGTTACAGGATTTACAATTTCTGTTTTTCTCTTCTTAGAAGACCTTTTCATTTAGTCTTCTTTCCGAACCACAAAATATATATCTATATATATAAGAATCACTTTCCTGCTTGTGGGTTGCTTTTTTTATTCCTATTTTGCCCTTTAGCTTGGTTGGTGAAACAATTTGGGTGGTGGCCTTTTGGAAATTATGTAAGAAATTTTAGTAGCTTTGGTTGAGAAGGTTTGTCTTGGGTTGCCTATTTTTCCCTTAGTTTGTCTTTGAATTTTTTATTTTGCCCTTTAGCTTGGTTGGTGAAATAATTGGGGTGGTGGGCTTTTGGAAATTATATAAGAAATTTTGATTCATTGTTATTAGCCCAATAGTTTAAAATGAGAGATTTTTTTGACTTTATTTATTTTTTAAAAGTGATGTTAGAGTGATTATTTGTATGGTTGTTATACTTTCAACTTTTTACTACTATATCTTCAATTTTTGTACAATTAAATACCGTTCATATAAAAAAAAACCAAAATTACTTTACAGAATGCGGACTCATAACTAAAACTCTTAAATACGTATAAAAAAAAGGGTTTAATTGTGACTTTTACCAACATTTTAACTATTCAAGTTTGGTTTGAAAACTTTTACGAATTTCAAAATTTATTCAAACTTTCTTCATTTAACTATTCAAATTTGGTTTGAAAACTTTTACGCATTTCAAAATTTGTTCAAACTTTATTCATTTAACTTGTTTTAATTGTTGAACGTAATATTTCATTTTTAAAATTGGTTATTCTATATGTCAAATAATTTCTTTTTTAACTTTGACATGGTTAAATTTTTGACAAAATAAAAAAACATACAAATAAGATCACATACCATATAAAATTGAAAACTGAAAGTTGAATGCTGAAAATTAAAGACTAAAAACTAAATGATAAATTTATTAAATTGAAAAGTTGGTTGTTAAAAAATTATATACTAATAAGAGCCAGTTGCGGTTTAGTATGGGGTGTTTTTTCAGTTTCCCAATTTTCCCTTTTACTTTGTATTATTTACTCATGGTGACTTGTATTTTAATTTTTCCATTTTGCCTTCTCTTTTGGTAATATTTACCACTATTGGTGGTTGTAATTTAGATGAAGGTTTATCGTAATTATGCAAAAAATCTTGGTCAGTTATGAAATATGAATATTTTATTTTAATTAAATTACAAATATACTCCGGAGGTTTGTTTAAAATATGAGTTGCTCCCATAATATTAGAAATTGCAACTACCGCTTGTTAAATTTTTTAATTTAACAGAATAATGAATAAAAAAATTTAACTACTTTCATATGCAACAATAAAATTATCAAAATTATGCATTTGAAAAATATTTCTTATATCATTAAAAGTTATTAATTAACTTGATGATTTATTTATTAACAAAATGGATCGCTTGTTATATGACTATGATTTATTTACAAAAAAAATACACTCAGGATAAGGGCCCAATGGACCACACAGTACGGTGAAGGCACAACATGGAATGCCATTGAATTAAATAAAATGAAATGAAATTATTATTTTTAATCTATTAAAACAAGCATTACCTTCAAGTCAAAAAATAAAACCAAAATTTTAAATAAAAATGTTTGAAATCCATAAAAAAATTTCACAATTAGGCCTACAATGACGTGATATGATAAGTATCAACTTTTCATTTCTTACCCAACTATTATAAGTAAATTTATGATTCTAAAATTATGAATCTTAACATTTTTCATTTAAAAAAATATAAGGGAAACATTATGATACGCACCCGCTTGAAGGGTGTGCACCATATGCACTTTGTTACATATTTTCGTGATGTGTTACGTATTTTTGTTGTAACTATAACCTATTTTTTTTGATAGGAGTCATGATAATTTGTGGTTGAGATAAAAAGTTACACGCTTTTATGATAATGTTATGTATTTTGTGGTATTGTTACAGATTTTGTGGTTTGAAAATGTTTTAATAAAAAAATATGTAACATTACTACGAAAATGAGTAACACTAAATCGTATCATTAAAAATTGTTAATTGACTTAATAATTTATTTATTTATTTAATATTGCATACAAATCAAAAAACAAGTTTTAAATTAAAATATTAAAATGCATAAAATATATAAAAATGCTTCATTTAAATTGTAATTTCTAAAATTTATAAAAAATTAAATCGTCTATGCCCCTCATAAAAGTTGTACAGAAATAATCAACTTAAATAATCTAATTAATTTATATATTTTCATACAAATTTTTTATTTTAATATTTTACCCGTGCCTTGCACGGGGCTTTTTTTTTTTTTTTACCTAGTATATATATATATATATATTAGCGAAGTTAGTGTACCAAGAACTTGAAATATATATATTGTAAATGTGCTAGACTGTTAACTCTTGAAGTCGGATTTATTTATTTATTTTAAATAAAGCAACAAGTTCTCATCCAAATCCAGTGTCTCCCAAATCTCCTTCTCCATCTTCAATTGCAATTTATCATGCATTTACATATGATCAGCTAAGGTGCAGAAATCACATTGCTATAGTTATGTTAAATGAGTCTGTTCAAGTGATACATTCATGTGTTTATTGATTCATAATCATAATGGCAGGGAAATGCGCTTCATAGCCAGGGCAAGTATAATGATGCGTTGCAGAAATATTTGCTTGTAAGTGTAGTGTTTGTGTCTGTTTCCATTTATATGTTTCATGTGTCAGTTTACTCTGTGCATCCTTAAGTTTTGCAATAATGAATTCTTATTTCTGTTTTCCCCCTTCTTTCTTTGTTCTCAAACATTTTTTAGGCAAAGAAGAACCTGAAAAGCATTCCAACCTCCAAAGGCAGAACCATCTTATTGGCTTGCTCTCTTAACATGATGTCATGTTACTTGAAAACAACGCAGTATGATGAGTGCATAAAAGAAGGCACCGAGGTATTGGCAAGTCATTTTTCTGCTGGTTTCAGTATGAATGTGATCAAATTTTGTCTGATCAGGATGTCTCAACTTAATTGTTTTAAAGTTAAAACTTGCAGTAGAGCAAGAGTTTCGTATGTATACAAATACAATAGGAGAACAAAAAAGTATTTTGGTGTTTATCATTTATGTTTTGAGTGTTGGATGCATGAAGATCAGTACAACTGTTTGCTTTTTATAAGGAAAAAGAATCAATTACATGTTTGTATGATTTCAGGTATTGGCACGTGATGCTAAGAATGTCAAAGCTCTTTATCGGAGGGGTCAAGCTTATAAAGAATTAGGACAATTAGAAGTGAGTATCCATGAGCTTGTATGACTTTTTGCAGTGGTTGCAGAACTCTGCTTCTTTATATTGTTACGCAGTTATCTGACTGCTTGCTGGTATTTCTAATCACTTGTTTGAAATATGCTAGGATGCGGTCTCTGATTTGAGTAAAGCACATGAAGTTTCTCCTGAGGATGAAACCATTGCAGACATCTTAAGGTATGGAAATCGTAGTTGGTGTCTGAGGATTTTTCAACCCATGCCATACATATGTTGCTTGAATGGCAGGGCCTCTTTTGTTTGAGCCATATGCAAAATGTTGCTTGAGTATATGTTTCTGATAATCCCTACCATTTACTCTATTTTTGAAAGAAAATCAAGCCATTTCTTTTCCAGGACAAAAGTTGTGTGGTTTTGTTTGTGTCCACTGTGATTAGTGCCATAACATTTAGGAAATCCAGATCGATTATCTGCAATTATTTCCTTATTTGTACATGTAAGTTTCTCATTTGTATTCTGTGTTTACAATAATCATCTTTTCTTGTTCAGTCCAGAGTTATAATGCGACTGCTGATTGTGCTGTCAAGAGATACTAGGTGTTCCATTTGTCATATTTTGCTAATGGCTGTGAATGGATGCAGGGATGCCAGGGAAAGATTGGAGAGAGAAGGTGGTGGAAATACATCAAGAGGTATTTCGCTTTTCCTTCCTATAAGATCGTCCCTGGACAGCAAAATTTTGGGATCTGCAGAATATCCATATCTGTTTTCTTGTTGCTTTTCTTGACTTGTTACCTTTCTTGTTTAATAGGATTGGTTATTGAAGAAATAACTGAAGAAGAGCAGACTGTTTCTTCAGAGAATTGTGGAAGTTCAACTAAAGAATATTCTGTGTCACAACCACAAGAAACCAATGGCTACTCTAAGAGTCAACCTGAGATAAACACCAAGGCCACTTCAACAAATTCAGACTATGTCCATGCTTTAAAAGATGACCCAGAAGCAATCAGGTTTGTTTGCATCTATCAAAGAATTGTTCAAAATCTTTTTGCTTGTTTGAGTCTGAAATCTCTTTACCATGCTGTTATATTTCATTTCGTTTGTTTTGTCACATAAGTTACGTGGTCTGGATATGTCTGAACGTTTCCTATTTTTTTAGTGTTACTTCTTTTATTCTTGTGTTTTGCATTTTTAGTGGTAACTATGACTGTTATTCTTCTTTGAAAGGCATGCACAAGCATGAGCCGAAGTTTAAAAAAGAGAGGAGAAAAAAGCAAAAGAAATTGCATTTTTGGGGAAACAAAAAGAAAGAGCACAGCTGTTTCTCTTTCTTTTCTTTCCTCGTTTTTTTTTTTTTTTTTTTTTTTTTTTTTGAGATTATTATACTTAAGGCAATCAATGATAAATTTACCACAATTAAGTTCATTAAAAGAATATATTTCTTCTAGTCTATGAATAAAAACTTATTTCAGATCAGTCAAAAAAATAGGTAAAAGGTCATTTTTTACCATACTCATCTCTTCCCCCATTGCCCCAAACCCAAAGCCAGCCCCTCACCTCATCCCCACAACCACCGCCACACATCCCTCTTCCTTGAACATTGCAACCCACATGCATAAAGAACACAATAAAGGGGCTGATATATGTATAGAACTAGGTTTGGGTTTGTAATAGATTTGAGAATAAGTGGTCATGTACCTCATAGTATGTCTAATCGTTCTAGTGTACACAAGCTGAGAGATTACTACTTCCCGCAAATTTCTGATACAGAGTGTTATTGGCTTCAAAAATTATTTTTTTGTTGAAGCAAAGTACACTTGTTCTTTGCTTACTGTCACTATTTTTTCTTTTTATTGTTCCATGGTGGCTGCGGCGGGTGAGGGAGGGGAGGGGGATGTGACAGGGAGGAGAGAGGCAGCAGTCGCGATGACAGTCGAGGATGGGATGTGTATAGGAAAATACGACTTTTTGACTGTATAGTTGTCTGATTTGTAAATAAGTTTCTATACATTGACTTGAGAAGAAATCTTTTCATTTAATGGATTTAATTGTGATAAGTTTATCGCCTGTGCCTTCGGAATTTTCGCCTCTCCTATCTCTGGAAGTGTTCCATATTATAATATCTACTGTTTTGCATTAATTATATCATGTATCGGATTGTTTCTTGCTGCAGTGGCCAAGTTGCTAATTGTTTAATCCACATGGGCATTTCCATATTTGTACCTCTGAGCATTTTATCCAGCTATTCATATGATCAAAATGTTTCACTTAATGATCTAAACATTAATTTTAGTGATAATGGAACGGTGGAATTTTGCCAGTCCTAATGACATTCTATGAAATCTTGTAACTAATATGCAAAGTGAATATAGCTGATTATGGAGTATGATTTGCCAAATGTGGAATAACAAAATTTTGGTCTTTCTCTTGTAACAATTCAATGACCAAATATTTTTTATGTATGCAAAACAAACACACAGAGTGAGGGAGAGTACCAATATAGTGAAGTGGTATTACATCAATGCTAGGGCGAAAGACATATTCCAAGAAGTCTTGAAGCTAGGCAGGGTATTATGTTATCAAAAAATTTCAAAAAGTTTGCAGATTTGACAGCTTCCTAAAACTATTACTTTTACTGTCATTTGTGAAAACTGAATGAAATTCTCTCTCCACCATTGTCTATTGTGGGATTAGAGGTTCATGGTACCACCACGGAATACCTGCAATTCGACACAGCTTCTTGTAGTAATGCAAGCTAACTGGGCCCACAGTTGGAGCGATAATAGTAAGAGCTATATTACTCTTCCAATTTAGATGTTCTAGGAAGATTAAATATGGAAAAAAATTAGCAACATCTTTATTGATCTGCAGTAAGTTCGTCTTTGCATTCTGTTCTCTTCTTTTTTTTGCCAAGTTTGTCATTGCATTCTGTTCACTTCTTTTTTTGGCTAAGTTTGTCATTGCATTCTGTTCAATACTTGAGTTATATCATAGAGCAATTTTATCAATCCTGATTGTCCACATTTTTTGGTGCATTTCATAGATCCTTTCAGAACTTCATGTCTCGTGCCGATCCTGAAACTCTGGCTAGTATGAGTGGTGGAAAGCCTGAAGGGATATCTCCTGATATGATTAAGACTGCCTCAAATATGATCAGCAAGATGTCTCCTGAAGAACTTCAAAGAATGTTCCAAATGGCTTCTTCCTTCCAGGGAGAGAACCCACTTCTTATGAGGGGTTCCTCAGACTCAGATTTGAACAGCTTCAGACCTGGACCAGTTCCCCCTGATGCGACACCTGACATGCTCAAAATGGCAAGTGATATGATGAGTAAGATGTCACCAGAAGATATGCAGAAAATGTTTGAAGTGGCATCATCTTTGAAAGGTAAAGATTCAGGGCCGACGACTGGAGCATTACATTCTAATGTAGTTAGATCAGATACTGGATCAAAACCTGTTGATTCCTGGGAAAGTTTTAGGGGAGACCATACTGATGAAAGTAGTTCTTCTCATGGGTTTTTAAGTTCGAGAAGTGCTCCTCAATCAAGCTTCCCCAACCCAACTGCTGATCTGCAAGAGCAAATGAAAAATCAAATGAAAGATCCGGCCATGCGGCAGGTATGTGGTTTGACTGCTTATTATTTCTGTTTACATTTGTAACTATAAGATCTAATAAGAACTACGGGACGAGAGAATGATATTAACATCACTAGAAGAAGCGTCCGCTTTCCATCTGGATCTCTATCCATCTCTATCTCTTGATCCTGTTTGTCTTCCCCCATGAAAAAGCGGAAAACACCCAATCAAACATAAGTAGAAAGTCAAAAGATAGGATTTCAGGCTATGCCCATTTTTGTAGCACAATTGTCAGGAATTCAAGAAACTACAGAATTTAAACCACTTCTTGTGATTTCTAATGATTATTCCATCCCTTATGACTTATAATGATGATTCCATTACTTATGACTTTTAGAGATGAGTCCGTGTTTGCTTCACGATGAACCCTATTTAAAATTATGGGATTGTGCTTTCATTTGTTATGTGGTCTGTGGTGAAGTGATTGTTATGTAAACTTGTCTTTGATAAAAAAAAAAAATGTGAATTTCTCCTTATTTGCTTATCTAAGTGTTAATTGGTTCTAAGTTTTAATTGGTTCCATATTGGCAGATGTTCACATCAATGATGAAAAACATGAGCCCAGAAATGATGGCAAACATGGGTGAACAATTTGGATTTAAGCTTTCTCGGGAGGATGCAGAAAAAGCTCAACAAGCCATGTCATCTTTGTCACCAGATGACTTGGATAGAATGGTACTCTTCTTCCACTAATTTTACTTTGTGACTTGATAATTATATATACTGCTTGTCATGCTTGTTTTTGATCATTGATAATCTATTCTAATTTCCATTTCGAAATTGACTTTGGGTTGTCTCACTTTACATGAGATAAGTTTGATGCATTCATCCATATATGAATTTATTGAAGTTTATTCTTTTATCATAAATATTTTTGCCAGAATCATATCTCACCCCACATAACTATTATTGCCATCATGTGTTGGATTGTTGTTCATTTCAATTCTGTTTGTGATTGATCATTTATGATGTTCTTTGCTTTATACTAATGATTAATTCATAATCATGAAAGAACAATTTCCTCTAAAGTTTGCTTTTATGCTGAAATTGCTATCTGGAAAAGGGCAAAAAAAAAAAAATACAAAAATTGTTACGCATTTTCTTTTCTGCCTAAGGTCTCTGATATTTGAAATTACACATAATACCTTTGTAGTAACATGGGCAAATAAAGTATAGGAAAACACAGAAAAGAACAGCAGATTGTGCTTTTGTTTTTTTTTGAAAAAGAACAGAAAACAGAAACAGATGATTTTGAACTCTAAAAAACAATCAATCGAGCTTCTTTCACTTTTATCTCCAACCCAACCTTGATTTAAGGAAAGAAAAAACCTCAGTCAAATCTTAGGGATCATAATTTTCAGTCTCTTGCTGAAACTTCAAATTTTGCCTTGTTGGCTTCATTGAAAACATTTCAGATGGTAAGCTGTGAACTGTTATGGGTCGTATTTCTATAGGACAGCATTCTGGAGTTGTTGTGATGTTGCATGGTAATTCTTATCCATTATTATTTAGATGAAAGAGCTTTAGGAATTGATCTGATAATCTCCTATCCAGATATATGCTTGCATTTACCTAATTAGTTATTTTCAGATGTCAAAAATAAAATAAAACAAAAACTTGTGCTCTTTGAATGGTTTATGGTCCTCTCTCCTTAGGGGTTCCCAGCCTTATGAAGAATAGGTCTCTCTATCACACACTTGATAGATTGCCTCCTGTGTTCATATACCCCACCAAATCTCCTGATCTGATCTCATAAAGTTACTGCCCGAGTCTTGGGTAACCAATTATGAGAACACTTTTAACCAAACTAGTGCAATCCACTAATCATGTATTCTCACAGCTCATGCTGATGGAACAAATGGTTGACATATCTTTTCCCAAAGAATCTCAAACCCTACTCGTGCCTTGTTTCCAACTGAGATCAATATGATCAGCCCAGTAATTCAGACAGATAAACAAATTCCCATCCACATAAAATTATAGTTAACATGAGCTCCCCTTGGTCTTGAGTTGGGAATTGGGACCTTGATAATGTTTAATGAGCACATTTGCAAGGGCTTAGAACCAAAAAATTTATGCATGTAGCCTGAAGATCAATTTTGATGGCTGCTTGTATTGGATTGAGCTTATTGTTATGGTGTTATGTCCTTAATCTACAGTATATGCTAAAGCTCTATGCATTCCGAGCATGACCCCCTTTTTTCTTTCTTCTTTTAAATAAATGATGTTCATAAATGATGTTCCAGATGCGGTGGGCTGATAGGCTCCAGAGAGGAGTGGAAGTTGCGAAGAAGACAAAAAATTGGCTACTGGGGAAACCTGGTATGGTTCTGGCTATATTTATGCTCATTTTAGCAATCATCCTTCACCGGCTAGGCTACATTGGAAGTTAAAGTGGGATCTCGGTGCACCAGAATGAGGTGTCAACCTAATTTTTACCTTTGGAAGTAATCAGATCAGAGGTTCAGAGGTTCGGTATGCAGATTAGATGATAAGATAGCTGGTGGAGATGTGTTTAGTGGGTGAAAGACTTCTTCGGCTAAGTGTTTTTGTATTGATGTTAGTTGTAATGAATTTGTTTGATTGTTTTGCACTCTTATGCTCTTGTAATAAGAGTTTGCTATGGGAGTTTAATAATGTACCTTTTAGAACATTCGTAAGGGAACCCTAACTTTTGTCAATGATACTAGTAATACTACTGGAGCCATATGATGTTGCAGAGTATGTTTAGGAACATTCATGGGGTGAAATTATACACATAAAAAGTTAAAATTATTATTATTATTATTATTTGTACAAGATTTAGACCATTTTAGACTAGACGGACTCAAAAAATAAAACTTTTTGACACAATAAAAAAAATTTACTAAACAAAAAAGGAAAAAAGATAAGGTGATTTTTTTAATAGTTGCCAAACAAATGGTGGACAAAAAAAGAGTAAATTACAAATACACTTTTTGAGGTTTGCTTAAAATACTGATTATTTTTTATAGTTTGAAAAATTGCAAATATCTTGTTATTAGAATTTTTTATTTAACAAAATTAATTAAAAAAATAAAATTTATAAGTGCTCTCTTATACGATAATTAAATTATTTAAATTATTAATTAAAATATATTTTTAACATTATTAAAAATTATTAATTGAGTTGATAATTTATTAATAAAAAAGAATGAAATTAGAAACTACAGTGGTGAAATGTAACTTTCAAATCACAAGAGGTAATTTTGTATTTTAATCAAATTTCAGAGGATGTATTTGTAATTTATCCACAAAATAAAGATATCCAAGGTATGGTATCACTGTTCAAGATTGCTTGTCCTCGTTTGACATTTGGCTAAAATTGTTTAAAAAAAATATTATAAATGGTCATATTATTATTTTTTATTTTTTTACATATTTTTTTCATAAAAAGTTTAAAAATTAATTAAAATAGTTAATTTTTAAAAGATGCATTCAGAGTCGCTTGGCATCCAGAATGGTCACTGGAAGATATGTTTTCAAGGTGAAATTTCTTAATGGGGTGGTGTATTTAGAATCTGTTTGTTTCTTTTTAAATTATAGGACAAATTACCTGCACTCTCTTGATTTAGTTAAATTAAAGATTTCTTTGAGATTTTAAAAATTATGTCTCACCTCTCAAAATTTATATTCGCATAACAATTTATTCCCTATCGTGAAGTAAACGTTAGAAATTGTTGACGGAAACATGCTGACATCACGAAAACGAAAATAGATATTGATAGACGATATTGCCCTTGATATCTTTCCAAAGTACTAAACAATCTGATTTAACCTGAAATCTCTTTGATAAACTAACAAAATTTACAAAAGAATTACGTTAGATGGAAAAAGAAATTAAGGCTCCATTGTTTTAGTTTTTGAATCATGATTTGAGTTTTGAATTGTATTTTGAATTTGGAGTTTTTAAAATGAGTTTTGAAAAAAGAAAAGTTGTTTGGTTATGAGTTTTAAAAAGAGTTTTAAGTTATATTTTGAATTTTGAGTTGTATTTTGAATTTTTTTGAGTTTATCTTTTAAAATATTTAAAAAATTTCTTAATTTTATTTTTTTAGGGTAAATATTTTTTATTTATTTTTAATGTGCTATGTACTTACTACATTCATACACTGTATTTTTTAAAATATTTTTTATTTTAAATATATAATTTTTATTTTAAATATTTTTAATTTTTAAATATTTTATTTTATTTTTTGAATATTTTTTTATTTTTTTTTAATTTTTAAATTGTGCTAATTTTGTTAGATTTAACTAAAAAACATAACTGTAATAAAGCTTAAAAATAATAATAATATGGATAAAACTTTACTGCTATTTTAATATATTGACTAAATTTAAGCAAACATTACATGACTATTTCTAAACCAAAATCAAACAACAAACGCAACCAAAAAATAAAAGGAAAAAATATGTAAGCTGGGTGTACCATTTTTTTATTTTTGGTCATGCCAATTCACGTGAGATTGTATCGGAACTTCCTTTATCCTCTTTCATAGCAACAGAATGTGTTGCCTCATAATATTGTTCTTCTGGTACTTCTCTTGAAGTCCCCACATTGTTTTGCAATCGCACTGACCTTGAACTGCCCTCACTACTCTGTTTCTGTGATAGCACTTCCCTGGAGGAAGTGCCCTCTCGAGTTCTTCATCTCTTCATTCAACTTCTTCCCCAAGTGAACTTCTCTAAAAGACTCAGTCTCTCTTTCATGTTCCAAATCAGGGATTCCCTCCCTCTCTCTCACTTCATTTGAATCAGGACTACTAGCAACTGACCCAAAATCTCAAGAAGGCTTAGCAGATTGGAAATGAGTAATATCTAGGCTGTGGTATTATTCACCTTGAGGATGAAATTGAGTAATATCTAGGCTGCAAGCATGGGGCAACTGATGCGAAGAAAACACCAAGTGGAGGCTTGGCTGATGAGAATTCTGCCATAATCTCAAGAAGGCTTCACTGACTTGCAACTGCCCATTGTGCATATTCATCCTGTAGATAGGAAAGATAGCGTTAAAAACTATGATGGATGAACCACTTTATTATGAAAACTCTGAACCAAAAAATTGCAAACCTTTCCAGCAGGAGATGCAAGATGCCTCAATCGCTCGGCTTCACTTGGATCAGAAGCATGAGCTGCCAGGGCAAGTAATGCAGACTGGAAAACACATACATTTAACAAATTAGTTAATGAGAGTTCACATATATAATATTATGAGCAACACATAACTAAACAAACAATGGCCCTACCTTCTTCGGAAAGCTCAAAGGAGAACCACTTCAAGCAGGCTTTTACAAGAACCAATTGTAATGAAAAGAATGAAATTGAGACCTTATGAAGTGAGTCATACTTAATTGACAATCAACAATAATCATTTGGATATTAATATACCCCTGTTATAGTCGCATTAGGAGGGAGTAAAAAATCAAGATGATGAACATATGAATTTTGTGATCATGTAGCTTACAGAAAATTGATGTCTTCCAGGGTCGTCAGTATCATCTAGATATGAAGATGTATCACACAATACGATCCAGATCTATGTCATTTCAATATATATCTTTCTCACATATTGTAGGTACAACTACATTGCTAATACGGTGATCATGATCCTGATATACACTCAAATCGTGCATACACAGCAGAGTTAGGGTATTGTAGCAAACCATTTCTTTAACAATTGGCAATCCTATGTCCAAATCATCTCTTCCTCTTTATACTAGATCAACTCTCCACTACACAATCATGTTAAAAATATTTATTGTGTGGTACGATATAGAATTTGAGACAAGAGAATAGGACAAGAT